ACCTAGCAATCCAATGGGTAAAAAATTCCTGACCGACATTTTCTGCCGAAATATCCTTCATTGGTATTGCTTCCGGCTATCGGGAAAATCGGTCGATGAGGGCTAAAAGGTAGGAATATCCTTCTAAAGGTGGCAAGGGTCTGACTATATCCAAATGCGCATGTTCAAAACGTTGAATGGGTACGGCGAAAGACTGCAACGGACTGTGAGCATACCGTATGACTTTTGACCTCTGACAGTCCATGCAAGCACGAGTCCAAACAACACAGTCTCTTGACACAGAAGGCCCCACAAAACGAGGGAGAATTAGTGTTTTCGTAGATCTTGTACCTGGATGAGAAAGTCCATGGAGAGAATCAAACGCTACATTTTGCAATTGATTAGGAACAAAAGGACGAATCTAGTCAGCACTTATGCCACAATATATATTTAAACCAGAGAAAAGCTCCATCTTTTGTAGTTTTAATGAGCTACTTTCTGTAGACAATAATTGACTCAGTTCGGAATCATTCTGTTGAGATTCAATCTGTGCAAAGCCTGTTTATATCCAGCTTACTGATAGCAGCAATTCGTGACAATGCATCTGCCACGATATTTTCTGATCCAGGAACGTGTTGTAAATCAGTACTGAACTGAGCAATATAATTTATATGTCTTAGCTTCTTGGGGGATGCAGAATCTGAATTATTCCTATATAAAAATATAAGAGGGCACTGATGTCTGTACATTGTAAAATATTGTTCATCAAGATTATATTGAAAATGCTTTATAGCGCAGTAGTTAGAGAGTAGTTCTCTGTCACATGCGCTTTAACAGTGGGAGTAATTGTGCTCCTTCGAAGTTGGGAAGGATTAGATTTCCGAAACCAACCATTTTATGGGAGGAGACCCGGGGTCTGAGAGTGTTTAAAGTAAGTTATTTAGATGTTATTTCAACATATTAAAATTGTTTAAAATAAATAGCAGTTCGAAAATTTAATATTTAGCTGCTAGTACATGAGTTACGAAATGTAACCAACAGAAATTTGCTACAGATTGAAAATAAGCACTATAAGTTTGATATTTTCTTTTGCGTTATTGTTATTGCTTATGTATGCTTTGATAAGTATTCAGTATGTGAAATTCGAAATTAATTAAAGTTTAGTTAGAAAGATATCTGCCTACCCAGCTGCTTTTAGATCGCACTAGCTGCTCGCCAACTGCTTTCAGCATGCGGTCAGCATGCAATCTGGGTTTGAGACTACTGCATTAAACCATATGCTTCTATGTACTTGTTTGTGCATCGGACACAAATTTCTATCTCCCTTTTAATCATGTACGGTAAGTTATCAGCTACTCCCAACGTTCCCCTATTAAAGAAATTTGAATCTGTTTCCTGAACACGAGTTTGCTTAAATATTTATATTACAGTAAAATGAACAGGTAACCAACTATTTTGGGACCATTGCAACAGTGTTACTAAGATTAGAGAAGCGCTGTAAATTTCTTAACACGTTTTACAAAAATTGAAAAATTGACAAAGTCCTTAAAGTTAAAAATTATACAAGTCTTTAATTTTTCAAAGAAAAGAAGAAATAGGTGAGATTTTCTTGCCCAAGAGAAGAAGATTTACAGATCGCTTCAGATCTTGTACGTTTGCTCGACACACAGTTATCCGATAACCCGTTTGCCCAACGGATACATTTGCCTGAGGCGCAGTTGTCTGACATTTATGTTTGCTGGACACCTTTTGCCCGAAATGTACGTTTGCCTGACAGGTATATATAATGAATAATAACCTCCTCTCTGCTTGTTCAAGGATGATGAAGCATGGGTTTACTGAAATGACTGCAACAAGTGAAAGATCAATTTATTATCGGAAACGAAAAGAAAAGTGTACAAACTTGTTTTCGTCAACGTAAAGAAATGTTCAGTATGGCGTTTATCACTGTCGAAGGATTCTCGTACAGTGGGAAATTAAAAGTAAGAAGAGCGGAAAAAGTGTTAAAAATCAACTCAACATACTATTAAGAGAAAGTTTACATAATTACGTCCGATATTTACAGAAGAAATTCTTTGCCTTTCTTTATCCCAATGACTGTCAAAGAGTGAAACTTCATCAAGACAAAGCGACAAGTTATACTTCGAAAAGTACCACAGTACCTTTTGAAAAAATGAAGACTGATATAGGTATTATATATATATATCGAAACATATATATATATATATATCGTTTCAACGTATTGCTGCAAAATTGCCTGATGTTTTATCTATCGACTACTGTGCCTCTGATGTCTTGAAAAGTGCTCTTTCTAAGAGCAAACCAACCACGAAACCAACACTCTGGAAATTAGTGAAAGAGGAATGGAAATCATTATCCCTGGAAATTTTAGAAAAGCGCCCTTCTATCATAGACATCACAATGCAGACATATATTTCAAATATCATGGAAATAACGATTATTATGGAAATCACGATGCGAGCGAAAAACGGCTGTCAGATTGAATATTAAAAATACGCTTTACATTTTAAACTTTAATTAAACGGCCCCGAAATTGCTATAAAAGTGTGTACATACCATCTGTATCACAGCATGTTTTCTCCAAATTTGATTTCTCTCATTATTTAGTATTTTGTAACCAAATGTTATGCTAACGTTTCTTCAATGCTCATATGTACACTTATCTCCAGAAAGTCTAGTATAATGATATAATTTCGTAGCAATAATTAGAAGTAGAAATTAATCATTTTCAGGGTATGAAAAGCACAAAGTAAAGTTCTGAAGTATTTCGAAAATATTTTCATTTGCTTAAAGCCCACCAGCGCCCGAGCGGTAAAGACGCTGAACACTGGTAGTTCGGTCCGAGGTTCGAATCCCGCGAACGGGCTGGCTGCATAGGCGTTTTCGTGGTTTTCCCATTGTGTAACGTGCATACGAGCCAGTTTCCCTTAGAAAGTCCTCCACGAAGACATCCCTCCCTTTAGGGCAGATAGCCCTCGTGTGCTTTGCCTTAATTAAATAATTCAATCCAATCCATTTGCTTAAAAATGTTTTTAACCATACTTTATTTCAACATATACATATATTGTCACCTATTCTATATAATTCTGAATGGAAGTTTTCAGGTAATGTTCCTAAAGAGAATTAGTGTAGGACTGCTATTATATATACTGTTATAACATTAGACTGTATGGTAGAATACGTTACATAATTTGTCAAAGAGATAAAATCGATTTTTACACAGCGATATTCCAGCAATTACGGTATTTCAGCGCATATCAGTTATCTTATGACTTTTCAGTTATGCAGTATTTTCAGTTTTACTTTCCGCAAAGGCTAATACTCAGTGATGGAGAATCAGATTAACCACTTCTGGCCAACCATATTAACTCTAACCCATCATATTAACCAACTTCTAAATTCTGGCTTATTCTAACCTCTAACCGCCATACCAATCTATCAGTTTTATTCTTCTCTCTTCTCAACGTAACGAAGCAATACATGTTATTTTCATTCTGTCTGACTAGATAATAAGTTACGTCATCAAGAAAGAAGAGACTGAGAGACGTGACAACATTGAAGTATAGCTAAACAGACCAGGGCAAACAAGTTCAGGGGAAAGTATCGATGCCTTTCGCTTTTGTAAAGACTGTTAAGAATAAGAGCTCAGAGAAAAATTAATAATGAAGGTGATTATTAATATCTTGTTGCTTTTGATTATCTCTCTTGTGTTGATAACCTCTGACGAGGACAGATTGTCTTTAGTTTTTTTTCCCAAATGACTAATATATTGCGTAAGAGAAATCCTGTATATTTGCATACAAGAAGGGACACGTGAAGGGGAAGGCGGAAACCCAAAATATAAAGGGAAAATTTTTTTCATCCAAACTCAATCTTCTTTAAATTTCTAGTCGCCCCACCAGTGGCCGAGTGGTTAAGACCTTTGGAAGTGCCACCCGGGGTTCGATCCGAGGAGAACGGGCTGCATGCATGGTTGATTTACCACATACGTAACATGAATAGGAGCCAGTTTATGTTCAAAAGCCCTCACGAAAGCATTCCTTCCCTTAGGAAGGTAGCCCTCATGTGCTTTACCATATTCAAATAGCCTAACCTAACCATCGCTCTTAATAAAGCATGAGAAAGAAATTCTCTGAAAATGGTTCCTGTTGCTTACACTCAGAAGTCTAATTCTGACAATAGTATTTATGCTTATTAAGGTGTGCTTATTTATGGATATCGGAGAGAACCCATGTGCAGTAAGCGATTTGCAAAGATTCGGTGCATTTTAAGGCTTTTTCAGTAGCTTATTATAACCTCCGTATTCATAGTATTTTAAATGCATTTGACATTTTAAAGAAATTATTAGAAAAACATTTTCCTTTTTTTAACTGTAAAATATATGGAAAAATTTCATTTATAAATGAGGTAAATATTTGTACCTTGCAGCAATATTTAGCGCAGAAAATAACTTTGCACTCTCATTTTCTTTTACATGCCTACTTGATGGTAAAAATTTAATAATGGGGAATAAATGCAAATTTAATTTCTTAGAAAACACGAGAATTTGCCTTTTTATAATAATTTCTTTTAAATTAATTATGAAATCTCATTATCATTTCGAATAATCTTCTGCGGGATAAATTTTCAATTGCTTGAACTGTTGCGCGTTTCTTTTTAGAGAACAATATGCATTTTATTAAAGGGAAAAAATGCCTAAAATATAAGGAGTTGTGATTTTATCTAAAATTAGCATTCGCAACTAATCCTGCTTGTCTTGTTTTGCAGTGTAATTGTCTAGATGCAGAAAAGATTTCTAATAATGATTTGGAATAATTCATAAGCCCTTTTCTTAATGCAACTTTTTCTAATATATGAAGCATATGAAATTAGGCTCAGTAATAAATCATAATATTGTGATACAATAGACAAAGATCAGATTGTAGCTATTCATAAAGATAAGGAAAATGTGATTACTGGCAGTGGAAGATGCATCTTTTTTCCTCATATGTATGCATCCCTGATTGCAGAAATGTCACCAAAAAATGCAATCTTTATAAGAAAGTATCATCACAGAGCAATTGATCAGTATGTCTATGGTTATTCTGTATGACTACATTCAAGGAAGTAATTTGTCCTCGAAGTTTGCATTGTAAAAACAAGGTAAGTTATAGAAAAATACTTATTTCTAATTCAAATATTTATTATTTAACACTAAACTAGTATATGTGATTTATTTATGTTTCACAAGTTGTTACTTAACTCATATATGCTGTGAGTCTACAAAATTTAAAACTTGAATTTTTTCAGCCGACGCCAATAAAGCTGCAACATGATAATTTATAACAATGATTACTAATGCAATCCAATTTACTTCCATCAAAAGAACCTTAGTTTACAGAAAGAAATTTAGAAGTAATTAGTCGTTTGATTTTATGCAGCTGACACCTACCGTTAAGGATTTAGAGAGTGAAAGGAGAGAAGCAGAAAAGTTGTTTTTGCCAACTGTTCGCAAGTAATTTATTGTAAACAAAAGCGTTACTGTGAACGTGCAGACTACTTTCTGTTCCCTGAAATAAAATTTTAGCTTAAAGGATACCATTTTAAGAGTATTTCAGAAATTCGGAAAACTTAATATCGAGATAAAAAATGCTCCAATAGCTGATTTCTATGATGCAATCTGGAAGTTGTATGAAAGTGCGAAGATGCATTCCGCATTACACGTTAGCGCTAGATTCTGACTAAAATTTCTCTTCTGATTTAAAAACATTCGGATAACTTTCCCATTTTTCTGTTCTACATAGTTTTCTCTCTGAGGGTTAGTTTATTGATAAATTACATTTCCTCGCTTGTTTTTGTTTTTATTCGGTGCATTCATTTTGTATTAGCATTTCATCCATTTTATTTTCCCTTGTATTTATTATTTGAAACGTTTTATGCAGATTCTTTGTTAAGCTACCCGTACATGCAAGGTATTCTCACACTTAAGACACTTCGGAAACATTTGATTTTACCTTACTTCTGTTATTTACGTTCCACCTCATTGTAGCCTTATCTTCTTCTAAAGTGTTCGATTTTTCAAAATATGAGTCTTTTGTTTGCTGTACCTTTTTCTTTGTTCTTCCGATGCCTCTGTTAGGAAATGCGGTCAAGACTCATGCATGTGAGGTGCACCTAAGGCTTTACAAGGTAGCTGAGCCGAATGTGACGTGTCTGGCTCAGTTAAAGTCAGATATCGGCTCATATCTGTCAGAAATTGTAATATTAATATTATTATGCATTCTTACTGGACCGTAATTTTCTTTTAAACGAACGATATTGGGATAATTACCGGTAGTCTATCCATGAGTAGTTTTCAGTTGTTCTGGTCTTACTGTAAACTGCGTTCTTCGGAAATTAAATTACTCTCATAATTTCCCCCAACCGATTTTCGGACGATAAAAGCAGTTAAAAAGGCAAGGAAAATAAGTCAGGAAATACAGTATGTATTATTAGAAGGAATGTGTATAGAAGGTTAAATAGTAATAGGTCTTTTTTTCCATACCTCGATGTTCTGCGAATTCAACCTAAAATTCTTTAGACGCAATGTGCAAAACATACTCATTCACAGCTGCATTCTGTAGACGCAATGTGCAAAACATACTCATTCACAGCTCTTTTTGGTAAGTGACATTCCCTCGTCTGCTGATAAAATTTATGTTGATACCATGAAAGAGAATTTTTAATTGATTCATTATATAAATTGGGTTTTTGTAAAATACTATCAATGAGTAAAACGTCGAAAAAATTTGCAAAATGTAAATAATATAAATTTATCCACGGGTGGTGCTTGTTTTTCTTATTTTATTTATCTTTTAAAGATAAGTTTACCTAATCAGGAGATATGTTTCGCAATACAATTTGCGAAGCAACTTTTGCATATGATTTATTTTCCACCCAGAAACCAATTTTAAATAATGGTTTATATTCAATATTTTGAAGAAATTATAATCTGAAAGATAACAAACTGATTACCTTGCAATGCAAGCTTTGGTATTTGTAACTCTCAGGTAATTTCCTTTTGAAATTTTTGGTTTATCAACATTAAAATGCCACCTACAAATGCGTAAGGTGCATTTTTCTTTGTTCTTAAAATGTAATGTTTAAATTTATACCAATGATTTAATTTATTTTTGCCCTCTGCCAAACGGGAGAGTGGTTAGTGACTCTGACCCCCGTTTTAAATGACACGGGTTCAGTTTCCGGAGAAGGCATGGATGTTTGTAAATGTATAGTGCCTGTGCGCCATGGGGGCACCCTAAATATGCGGCGAGCCGAAAGTCCTCTCAAGAGATTGGTCGTAGGGTCGTAGAGTAGATACTCGGACACGTCTCCCAAGGGTGCTCTGCATAAGAATTGGGGGGGGGAGTGGGCAAAGTCGTACTATCATTTATATGGTACTACAAGCTCTTGCCGACGACAGGCCCAAATTAACCCTTGCCACGATGAATTTTGTGGACTTGCTCTAGTCTCAGAGATCTGATCTGTTGTTACTGTCTATCTGGGATAATTCTGTAATATTATCCTAGCTAAACTAAAGTTTCTTGAAAGCTGGAATACTGAAGAACTACATAGCGACTATTCACAAAGTTCTTGTAGTGAAAGTAACAACTCCGGAGAAGGGTTAAATTACCATTTATGACAACTCAAAATGAATTAACAGATGGTCCCTTTCGAGCGTGCAGTAAGCCACAATTTGGGCCTTAACTCAAAATAAAAAATATAAAACTAATCTGCTGTTAGTTAAATTTAATCAGCCGAAGCTGCACAGAATCATCTCGCAGAACTGGCCCTTATTTAAAGCCCAGCGGCGTATACTACGGGCACGTGTTAGGTACGGCCGTAGAATAGCAAGCTTAAACTAATAGTAACAACGTGGCCGAAAGGCAGAACACACTCTCCACTTGTGCTCTGAGGCCTTTGGCTGGAAATAGAAGAATAAGCGCTTTGCGCAACTTCGATTAGTATCCAAGTTAAACAAACATGAAAATGTTATTTGCTATATGGGAAATGCAAAACAAAGTTGAAACATAATAAACATAGATGAAGTAGATTATAATAGGGGGACCGGAAAGTAATGTCGTTTCTGCGCATGTCGACAACAAACATGCTAAGGGCAGAAGTGGAAGCAAATCCATGTCAAACACTCTTAACCAACCTTGGTCGACCATCCAAGAACATTTAAAGCAGAATGGAAAAATAAGCAAAGCAGGTGTTTGAGTCCCTCAATAATCTGTCCGAAAAGAACAAAGCCAACCTATCCATCGCATGCAACGTATTGCTTCAACAGCACCATACAGAACCGTTTTTTGATCGTTTGATTAGTTCAGACAAAAAAATAAGTCCTATATGATAATCCAAAACTCAAAAGGCAGTTTTAATAAGGGTTACAAAGGGTTTACATCCCGAAAAGGCGCTTCTGGGTGTTTGATGGAGTATTCGCGGAATTTTTCATTTTGAATTGCTGAAACCTGAAAAAACTGTTAATGTAGACCTTTATTGTGAACAATTGGATCTAGTGAACCAATCTTTAATAAAAAATATCAATTGTCAACAGAAAAGGCGTCATTCTGCAACACGACAATGCAAGACCGCATTGCGCAAGACAAACACTGGAAAAAATTAATGAATTGGGGTAGGAGGTACTGCCATACTCACCCACCATATTCGGCCGATATCGCAGCATTGGATTTCCATTTATTCGGATCCCTACAACATTTTCTTAGTGGCAAAAAATTTGAAAATTTGGATAATGCCCACAATATCCTCTCGAGATATTTTACTCAAAAACCAATTGATTTTTATCGGTCCGGGATTGAAAATCTGCACATTCGATGGCAAAAGGTTGTTGATAACGAGGGTGATTATATTATTGATTAAAAATAAAAGCTTGTTAAAAATGTATTCGTTTGAATTTAATGTAAGAAAGCAACATTACTTTCCGGTTCCCATATTATATCAAGAAATTGTATTCTTGCGATGAGGACTTGAAAATTATTTGCAAAGTATATAAATGCTATCACTAGAATAATAAAATGCGCTGAGAGTTGTATCTTAAACTTCGGCACGGGTTGAAGTAAGGTGCAAGCAAAGTCCTATTCCCGCTTTGTCGGGAGCAAAGTCCAAGTCCATTTCTTTGCAAGTTATATGAAAGTTGAATACGTAATAAATGAAAATGTAAACTGATGTAAAGAATTCAAAACAAAGTCCTAATGTTTTGCCAGTTGAATCACAGTCTTTAGTCTGATATCTATTGCTTTGATAAGATTTAGTAACTACGAGCAGGATGAAAAACGAGGTTATTGCACTTTGGCCTGCGTTGGCAAAGTTTAATATGCAGGGCTATGATAAATAGTATGAGGACGCTTGAGAGGATGCACAGTTGTAGGATCATAGTTTGCGAGTTGTGCGATTTGACGATGTTCTGAATTTCGTACACTTCTGAAGACGTTATGCGCGGTCATCAATAGGTAATCTTGGGCATGAGGAATTTTTAAATCCTGATGTATCTGTTGATTTCTGACAATCAGGCGAAACCAGGTCAGGGGATTGGGGTGGCCAACATTCCTTCGAAATTACGCAGAGGCGGAGAGAGAACTGAAGCTTCGGCCATGCTGACATGCAGTGTGTAGTACGTAACTCCATCCTGAAATGCAAGCCGCTTTCTCCTTCAACTTGGAATGAAGTTTTCATGCATCGTATTAGAATTTCACTTGTTCAATTACGGGAATTTACTATGTTCCTGGCAAATGAAACCATACCTCGACCGATTATCAAACTTTTCATTATCAAAAATAACTTTTCATATATTTAGGAACTGAAACGGAAAATGACAAAATTCCCCATTTCACTTTTTTCCGCAGTGGCATATAGACTTGTAATGTTTTATTTTATATTAGAAAAGGCGAAGAGAAAAAAAAATTGTGTGGGGCGTGGACATACTCAGCTGATCAATATTTGTTAATATTTAACCGTGTTCAATAGTGATTTTACCTGAAAAAAATCCATACAGTGAGGGTTTGATTGATTTCAGCAGTTGATTTATTTTGTTAACGTTACTACACGTCGTTGCTCAGGATTTAATTTTTATTGTAAAATAAAACAGTAAAATAATTGATCCACCTTCGCTTAATCTTTATTTGATATTATTTAATTTCGTTTAATCTTATCGCCAAGTCCCAAAATGTATATAAAACTTTAAAGTTGGATTTATTCTTTACCTTTTAATTCTCTGATTATCGTTCTCATGGAATTAATACGGTAGCGAGTTTCACTGGTTCGCTTATTCGTTTCGTTAAAGAATTGAGGAGATTTGCTACTTGTATTATAATAGTAGATCGATATTATGTTTAGAATGTAAGGTTTATAGCAATATATATGGAATGTTTATTTTATAACTATTTATACGCTACGCTACATTGCATACGAATTTTATGTATGGGTAAATTAATTAGATTAATTAGCGAACAAATTAATAAGGTCATTTGAATAATATATTAATTATTAAACCTGCTAATAGAAGAATTTACCATTAACACTGACAAATTTAAAACTATTATCTTATTTAAATATAATATCTTTGGAATAATTTATAAGACGAACTTGATAATTTTCTTTGTACCATTCCTGAAATACAATTTTTACTTAGAAGTGTGTACATTACTAATATATCATAAATATTACTTGGCTTTGTTAGCGACATTGCGACTTTTCTAAACTAACCGTAGTTTTTTTCGAACATCTGTAAATTAATTATTGCTTAATCTAATTAAATATCATAATAAATAACTGATTCATCGCGTTAACAAGTGTTTAATTTTTTACTATTCTTTAATATCTTTAGAAGTAATAAATGAAATGATTTTGAATACAGAGAAGGGTACCCCTTGCATTATCGCGAAATTGTTGTTTCATTTATGGTAGCTTGAGTAGTTGAACGTTATGGAAAACCTATTATGACCTAATCGGTTGCATGGTTGTGGTAAATTCGTAAGGGCTTGTGTGTGTGTTGGTTAGGAAGTATATTGTTTATTTTGTGGTTTAGACGGTAAAATGGCTGAAAGTGGTAAGATTAATTTCAAGTTTCTGTACGATTTGGAAAGGAAAAGGAAAAGAGCATTACTTGACTGGTGTGTAAATGAAGGTTTACTTAGTAGCCATTATTAAGTGTCCTGTTTGTAGGAAGGAATTGCGTATGCTCGAACGTCGGACGATAACGGGGCTACGGAGGATATTTTTGACTCTTATTTTTTGAATTTATGTGCTGAACGTTAACAGATATAGTTCGATAATTGAATTTTATTTTTGGATGTTGTTAAAAATTTGTTGACTGAGACATGTTAATTCGTAATAAGGTAAGTGGATATTTCCTTTTGTGTGTAGTAAATGATTTCCTTTTTTGTTATTTCATTGTTTGATTTAAAATGTAGTTTATTGACATTATATATTTTTGTTGGCTGCTCCTTTGACTTTTTAAGTGAAAACAGATCGATGTGTACATAGACAAAGTCAAGGGAGAGCGCAATGCCATTTTTGTGCAATTCTGGGTTATTTTTTTAAGTGAAAATTGGTCGACGTGTACATGGATACCGAGTTTGTGCAATTCTTTGACTTGTTGTTTTGTCTTTGTGTAGTGGCGATTTTTGGTGCAAAAATCGCTGCTACACAGAGCTAAAATAATAACTCAAAAGAATTGCAGAAACTCGGTATTCATGTACCGCTAAAAATCGCCATTTTTCGCCAAGGGGCACCCGTAAATATAATTTTACCGTTTTTTTTTTAAATTCTTTCATTCTATTTTAATTTTTGCTTATTGAATAACTAACAGAACAGATGTATCTTTAAAATTTAGAAAAAATTTACTGCACTTGGAATGAGCTGATGACGAAACCATGTTTTCTCGCTGTAAATATCGAGTTGGTACATGTGTTTATCTTTCTAGAGAAAATAATTTGAGCCTGCTACTCTATAATGGAAAACATCTGAACGTGATATGAAATTGCTTCTTTTTTTTTATTTTTTTTTATTTTTATATTTTTATTATATTAACATTAATAATGAAATATTTGTATTATATTTTATATATTTTTTTAAAATATTTTAATTTTATTAGAAATTTTTTTGTCATAAAGAAGAAGCATATTATGTAAGGAATAATAGTTTTCATGAGATACAGTTTTTTCTGAACATTCATTTGTTTTAATTGTTGTTTAGCTGCCAGTGCTCTTCAGACCGAAACTATGACAACTAAAAAAATAGCAGTTATTGGAGCAGGCCCTACAGGCCTCTGTGCAGTAAAATGTCTTTTGGAAGAAGGCATGAAACCGGTCTGTTTTGAAAAAACAAATCACATTGGAGGACTCTGGAGCTATCACGATGAGGATATCGAAGGACTGGCATCAGTAATGAAAACCACTGTCATCAACAGCAGTAAAGAAATGACTGCTATGAGCGATTTTCCTCCTCCAGAGGATGCACCGAATTATATGCACAATAAGCAAATTCATAAATTACTTAAAATATATGCAGAGACATTTGATGTTGAAAAATATGTTCACTTTCATAAGGAAGTAGTTGAGGTGAGTTAATGTAATATTTTGAAAAACGTAAATTTATGCCAAGTATTTGTTTATTTGCAATGCTTATTTTATGCGAATGTATGTTTTCCTACCAGTTAATCATTATTCCATTTAGGGAATCTCTATTCTTATATTTAGTTGTCATTTCTAATTTCAGACGAAATTAACTTTTATCTAATTGGATTGGTGCAGGTTTCACTAACTCGTGCGTTACAGTTTGAACTGTTCCTCTTAAATTTTTGATTCAGAAAGCAAAATAATCCACTTAACTATTAACTACCTTACAAGGAAATATGCAATAAATGAACGCAAAATGAGAATATTTATCTTTCAGATCATGAAAGGGATCACATAAAGTATTTTAAGCTGTTATAAATTTTTAGCTGAGTATCTGGGATCAGTTTAGCATGCGTCTGTATGTATTTTATATGCATACTTAAAGCAAAGATTGGATATATAAAATGAGTATTATTAAGGTCAGTATACTGTTGAGTATTTCATACCATTGCCCAAACCTAATATGCACTCTCCAGTTTCTATTTTTCTATATCAAATTTCCTATGTTGCAGCATCTATTACCATGTTTAAGTGTATTTAATTTACCCTTATTTAACTAAAATGCCTGACAAAAGCCGAGCAGTAAAGTCGTTGAATACTGGGTTAGATTTTAGGTGAACGGGTTAGCTGATTGGGCGTATTCGTGATTTTGCCCATGTGTAACGTGGATACGAGCCAGTTTCTCTAAGAAAGTCTTTCGCGGAGGAGTCCCTCCTTTTAGACAGATGGCCCTAGTATGCTTAAATAGTAGCTAGTCAAATAAACCAAACGAAACCTAACATTCAATAAAATTACTGCTACTTTTCTACTAAGGGGCGTCAGTCACCCAGTGTGCACCAGATCATCCAAATATGGTAACTTATTTATATCACATCAGGAATAGCTGTGCACTGATGACGCTGCGAATAAGCGGAAAGAATGAACACCTTCAAGTTAACCAATAGTACAACGTTCTTTACCCTGAAAAGGGATACCATTGTAAAATAGTGAAATATTAGAGCAGGGTATTTCTGTATTATCTAATCGACCGTAAAGTTTTAAGCCATCGAACGATGGAAGTTGGAAATTTCGCCAAAGAAAGTTGCGCCAGTTACTTCTGTGGAACTCCTGCGGAACCCACGTGCCTTTATTTAATAAACATTCAGGATTCTACTTGCTTCATTTTTGCGCTTCGTTAAAAGGTTTTCGTCGATTTCTACCGTTTTGATCGTCCGTTCGATTTTATTGGATTTAACGCTGTTTAAAACTCTGCGAGTACAAAATTTCCGCAAGTAGTTGTTTCAGTCTATTGTAGTTTGTCGCTCACGCTTATCTGGCAATAACGTGTCCATTGATGTATAATTTTCCGTACACACGTGTAATTTTTGATGTTAGAATCCCATATCTTTGAGAATAATCTCCTGCTTTTATCCAATTTCTAATTTTTTTTTTATAAAAATTCAAGGAAAAAAATACAGCAATATCAGTTAATTTATAGCCTTGTTCATAAAAACAAAATGTGGCTTATCGAGAATCAGTCGGGGTTACATCGGACAAAAGCGCAGATGTTACGAGTGTGTTGTCACGTCATGCTTATTCGTAACTGGCGTTAAATCACAGAACTAACATAATTTTAAATAAATATAGCGGGAATACATAATAATAAAAATATGAGATGTAATTTGTTTTAACAACGTATTCATAAGATATTTTTCTACAATACATATATACATACTTCTGTATATTATAGCTCAAGTAGTGACAAAGCTAGATTAAAACTGAAAAGAAATCTTTTTTATTTTTTTTTTTTTTTTTTTTAAATTTGTCTTTGTTCTACATTAAGTAAATTCAGTTTATATTCATCGGAGGATAAAAATCATTTATTTAAATAATAAATATACTCTAAAGCATGTACACTTAACAACAACGCACTTATAAATTTTAGTAATATACCAAAAATATTATCATTATGTCAATTGAGCATAATATGATGTACTTTATGAAATAGTGTGACATTTTCAAAAAGGTTATGCGCACTTAACTGTTAGGAAGTAAATCCCTTCCATTACTACTTATTTTCAGAAGACGTTTGATCTAACTAGAAGCCGACAATGATGTCCTATGGAGTGAAACAATGATTTTAAACCATCTAGTGTTTATAATGTGGGATTGATCGTAAGATTGCTTCTGCTAGTTGCATTTGATTCTGTTATTGCTTCTGATTAACATTCAACGGCTCTACGTTTTCCTATTATCCTTAAATCAGGGCTATTGTCTTTCCAGCAAAGCAATATTATTTTGAGATCACTTTTTACATTAAAGTGAAATATGGCAAAGCGCAGAGTCTTACTGAAATGTGAAAGTCTCATTATTGAAGAAGAGGTTATGTGCTGAAAAGATCTTATTTTAGCAATTAATATACTAAACGTATTTTCTGCTATACCGAGGGCTATTCATCACACAAATTTTGCTCAGACCACCAAACATTGAGTGGATAAGTGAACATTGGTTGAATGACCCAGGTTCGAATTCCAGGTAACGGGCTTCTCGTATGGACGTTTTCGGGGTTTGGTCAATATTTAACGTGATTGTGAGCAAGTTTCCTTTAAAAAGTCTTCACGAAAGATCTCTGTCGTTAAGTAAATAGCTCTTGCATATTTTGACATAATTTAAATAATCCAGTACAATCCAGAATGAATGTTGTGTATTCAGACAGCAAACCTTCTCAATTCCTCATTCTGATGCATGAGCCTAGCCAGTGGGTTTGCAGGAATGTGCACTTGCATCCCCTAAAAATGCAATTTTTTTTCAAATATTAACCATCAAGAATTAGCGAAACGTTTTTTTGTCTTATTACTCTAATAAACTCTTTTTCCATACAAATATCAGAAATTCCCAGACCGACAGTTTGAATCTTTTTCAGACATTACTGTCATCACAGGCAAATAACTAACAGCCAACGGTCGAGATGGACTTTTGTCTCCGTTCTTCGCAAAAGAGACAGATCACTATCAGGTAATTGGTTGTAATTGTTTCCTGCATGTTCACTTAGCTCACAAATGTGCATCATTTCCTCGTTACCCTCAGGTGTCAAGGTCTTCTTCCTGAAAACTAATGAGGATTATACTTAAGTCTCATCTCTTCCTTAAGTTAGCAGGAAAGGAAAAATGATTGTTGCATTTCACTCTTAATTTAGTCATTTTTGAATTTTGACTATAGGGTTTGCAGAGCACTTTAGTCTTACACAGTTAAAAGAAATGAACATTGTATAATATTACTGTTCTCCGAATTTTTGGAAAAGCCCTTGCACGTGGAGATCATTGATTTTCTTAAGTAAATCAGAATACAAATCAATAAATCAGAATGCAATGCTATATACAAATAAGTAATCAATCTATCAATTACCGCTCTCCTCATTTGTATTTATATAAAACACTTTTTTCATTTATTCTGTTAGCTTCTGCATTATGCAACTTATGTAAAGTTTTGTCTCTTTGTTTCTTTTTTCATTCTTCAGTCAGTCAGTCTGAAATTAACTTCATAAAGCGATTCGTAGTTTAGTATAATTACTGATTTTTATGTAGTAAATGATACGATGGATATAAAAGTTCTTGGAAGTATGTTTTTAGTACTTACGTTAGTTTTATCTTATTGCTATCTGTAATTATTTTTTCCTTTTTTTCCCCCAAACCGCCGGAAAATTGCAACTTACTATTTTTAAGACACAAAACTATCCCTTGATGAAGAACTAAATTATTTAAAAGCAATAGCTGTTGACAGGGGCTTTTCACCCAACATTATTAATCAAGCAGTTAAAAAATTCTCATTTCAACAAACTAAAAGGCACACTCTTGTTTCAGGAGATTATAAATTTTCTTTGTCATCCCTTTTTCCATCAATTAGCTATAAAGTTGCACATTTTAGCAGAAATTTAACTTTCGGGTCGTTTATTCTTCCATCAATAAAATTCCGAGTTCCATACTCAAGGACCCCATTCCGGATATGAATTCCTTGGGTATTCATAGGATTCCTTGCCAGTGTGGTTTAATTTACATTGGTCAAACTAAGAGAGCCTTAAAATTTTGCGTCAAGGAACATGAGGCATATGTTAGTAAAAAGGAAACACAGAAGTCTTCTGTTGCCCAACATTGTTGGTCCGAAAATCACACTTTCAGTTTTTCTGCTGCCAAAATTATTCATAAAACATTTTCCATTGGAGAACTGGATTATCTAGAGGCATTTCACATTCAAAAAAATCTTCTGGTCCAGTTAACGATCCTAATTCCAATCCAGCTTTGCCTTCGGCCTTTAACGAATTATGTTTTAGTTCTGGTTTCATCAACAGATGGCGCCACTAGTTTATTTTCGGTCCAGGCCTTTCTTATCTTATATGATCATTATATCCTATCTCGTTCATTTGCGCTTTTGCAGCTGACGATGGTGGTTCGGTAAAACCATCGAAACTAGTCCTGTGAAAATTTGAACATATAACACTGATTTTTGTTCTTTGACTTCTGAATTAGTAACTTACTATTTGTAACAAGTGCCGGCGTAAAGCATAAGATAAATTAAGCGTTACCTAGAATTATTTAAAGCAAATGTCAGTTTATTGCCCTTATTACTAAACGCTCCAAAAATACACACATATGCTTTCTGGACAAGCTTCATTTTATACTAAGCTTGAGCGAATAGTAGTAGAGTTTGGTAATTTTGGCATAAGTTTAGATGATTCACGTAATCCAAACGCACACCACACATATATATACAGGGTGATTCTAAATTGTTTTTACAAACTAAGAGGGGTGATAGTACTCATCCAGATGAGCAATAATTACCATAGAACATAGGATCGCATTTCACTCTGAGAGGCAGAAAAGAGGAATATTAGAATTCCAACTTGAACTTAGAAAAGTGTTGGGAGAGCGAATGAACGAGACCAAAAGTTGCACACTCAGTTTAGTGAAAAAACTCAGAGTGCACAAAATGGATAAAACCGAAAACTTGGCGTTGGAGGGTTAATTAGAACTCAGATTCTGATGGCAAACACTCAGATGCACATCTTTGGTTGCCAAGGTCTCAACCTCGCAAACGATTGCAACAAGTTAATTATCTAATCGAGGGCTGAACTATTTGTTAGTTCCGTTATATGCCGAGATTAGCATGAAAAGTTCATGCTGTGTTCCGGCTGTCAGAACTTCGTGTCCCATAGAAGGGCGCTTCAAGTAGAAGGAGCACAGCACAGTAAGTCCAGGAGACAGGATAGAAGATGACGAAGGGGGGGGAACTGTTACCTATACTTAATATCAAGGTAGCAGTTTTCCCCCTAATAATTTAGATAATTCACTTGTTGCAAACGTTTGCGAGGTTGAGACCTTGCCAACCGAAGATGTGCATTTGAGTGTTTGCCATCAAAGTCTGAGCTCGAATTAACACTCGAAAGCCAAATTTTCGGTTTTATACGTTTTGTGTATTCTCTGTGAGTTTTTCACTAAACTGATAGTGCAACTTTTGGTCTCGTTCATTCGCTCAACACTGTTGTAAGTTCAGGTTGAAATTCTAATATTCCTCTTTTCTGCCTCTCAGGGTGGAATGCGGCCCTATGTTCTATGGTAATTATGGCTCATCTTGATGAGTATTATCAACTCTCTAAATGTGTAAAAATAATTTAGAATCAACCCGTATATACTTATATGTAAATGATAGTATCTTACTCAGAATCGTAGCATCTAAGCTTAGTTTTGAGTTGTCTGAAATCTCTCTTATTTATGTCAGACAGCCTAGATTTAGCTTGAAATTTTCATGTAAAAGATAATTTACTGTGGTAAACTGTATTATATTTTGCATAAAATTCTTTCTAGTGATATGGCCCACCAGCGGCCAAGCTGGTGGGCCATATCGTGGAGGACTTTCTAAGGGAAACTGTCTCGTATGCACGTTACACATGGGGAAAACCACGAAAACACCCATGCAGCCAGCCCTTTCGCGGGATTCGAACCTCGGACCGAACTACCAATGTTCAGCGACTTTACCGCTCGGCCGCTGGTGGGCGAAACATAAGTGGATATGGGGGAGAATAAATTTTAATTCTTCTATGATAATTCCGTTTTCTTTTTGATGTAAGAAATCTGTATATTTGAACTGACTGATTTAATATTGTGCAAATTTTCCTCTTCGATAAAAAAAAAAAGTCATGTGACACTTAAAATTGCATAAATATGTTTGTTTAATATTTGAATATAAGATACAGTGATTTACAAAATCAGTGATTTAAAAACTTATTTTCGAGATACTTCCACAGAAAATTCAAATACTCATTTTCTTGACAGATTCTCCTCTTAAAATTAGACAATAGTAATTAATATCAGATTAATATTAGTTTCTTAGGAAAATCCATCTGACATCGGCTGTCCTTAAACTAGGGCATGTTTATGATGTAAATTTATAGATTGGTTTCATTCGCGTCCTTTCCAAAATTTGATTATGTAACGGTTGACGACGCTTATGGCTATGTAGCAACGAGCTAAACGCATGAAACAGGATCCGCTTAGATCACATGTGCATGTTTGGCCCCAAAGTTCAAACAATAGATTAACGTGCAGCAATTTACAGGTTCGACTCATAGCTGAAGAAGTCGGCATTTTAGACTGCGGGAGACTATTCATCCTTAACAGCAAGCAGGAAACCCTTCACCAGCGACTGAACGGTAAAGCGACTGAATACTCGTAGCGCGGCTTGGGTTCGATTCCAGGTGTACGATCTGGCTACATGGAAGTTTTCGTGGTTTTACCCACGTGTAACGTGGACACGAGCCAATTTCCCTTAGAAAGTCCTTCACTAAGGTATCCCTTCTCTTAGGCAAAGAGCATTCGCGTATTTTGCAGTAATCAAATAAACCAAACAATCCTCAATAGATGGTTTCACCAGCGCAGCACTTATTCATCGCGGATTGTAAGGGGCCAAAATTTAAAATAGTGAAGTGTAACAGACGAAATATGCAATTATATTTCACAATGAAATCTTTCAATAACTGATGATATAGGTCAGTAACATTATCCTTCGATGATGAGTATTAGAACTAAGTATTTAAATTTCCTTCTTCCAAATAGGAAAGATACAATCGCTTATCTAGATTTTAAGAGCCGGGCGTTCTTCATCGAAAGGATCTTCCCATAAAGAATTTTCATTTACATTATTGTAACTTCAATAGCTAGGATTAAACGATAAAAAATAAAAGGTATTATTGCTATTATTTGTTGTAGCTGAAACATAAGTGGTGGTGGTGTGGTGTATTTAATTATGGCAAAGCACACAAGGGCTATCTGCCTAAGGGGTGGGATGCCTTTCGTGGAGGACTTTCTAAGGGAAACTGTCTCGTATGCACGTTACACATGGGGAAAACCTCGAAAACACCCATGCAGCCAGCCCTTTCGCGGGATTCGAACCTCGGACCGAACTACCAATGTTCAGCGACTTTACCGCTCGGCCGCTGGTGGGCGAAACATAAGTGGATATGGGGGAGAATAAATTTTAATTCTTCTATGATAATTCCGTTTTCTTTTTGATGTAAGAAATCTGTATATTTGAATTGACTGATTTAATATTGTGCAAATTTTCCTCTTCGATAAAAAAAAAAAAAGTCATGTGACACTTAAAATTGCATAAATATGTTTGTTTAATATTTGAATATAAGATACAGTGATTTACAAAATCAGTGATTTAAAAACTTATTTTCGAGATACTTCCACAGAAAATTCAAATACTCATTTTCTTGACAGATTCTCCTCTTAAAATTAGACAATAGTAATTAATATCAGATTAATATTAGTTTCTTAGGAAAATCCATCTGACATCGGCTAAGCAGCGGCCGAGCGGTAAAGTCGCTGAACCCTGGTAGTTCGGTCCGAGGTTCGAATCCCGCAAACGGGCTCGCTGCATGGGCCTTTTCGTGGTTTTTCCCATGTGCAACGTGCATACACGAGTCAGTTCCCCTTAGAAAGCCCTACATGAAGGCATCCCTTCCCTTAGGCAGATAGCCCTCGAGGCTTTGCGGTAATTACATAAACCGAACCAAACCATCTGACACAAACATTTCGACAAGTCCTGTTGTCAATCAAAATGCATATTTACTGTAAACACAATTTGGTAAAGGTGAATTTCGCTTAACTTTAATCTTCAGTTAAACTGTTTCTCTTCAACATAGTTAATTTTCTTATTAGAATATACGGAATCCTTAAGAAAATCCTCTAAAACTAGATAACTATGAATTTTGCTGCTCTTGGGGTCAAAGGCAAGAAACTTGAAGTCTGAAATCTTTCAGGAATGTAATTTAAATTATTGGCATGTTATAAAAAGGATATTTTTTCCGAGTGTATTAAATTCCACTGAGGGCCTTGCATTCTAATGGTAACATTCTTCTAGAGTTTCGATGAGAAACTGTTTTACATTTTATAAAAAATTCAAAATATTACAATATTTAGAAAAGTAGAAACATTTGCTAACAAATAAGTAGTATTTCTCTTAACTCGTTGTTGACCATAGAAAATGTTTTCTTGCGATACCAATTTCTTTTTAAATTCAGAAATTTTTTGTTTAATAAGCTACAGTTTTAATGAAATAGTGGAAAAATTGTTGATTTTAGGGCATTTTGAAGACAGATTTTCAAAACATGTAACTTACCACTGATTGTTAGAATTTTATAAAAAATTAATTTTATTGTATAAAAACAAATACACGGATGCTTTTGTTACTTTGAGTCAATAATTTGAGAAAAATGAATCTTTATTTTAGTATTATATCTTTATAAGTATAGAAATAAAAGAATTTACAAATGACTATGTCAATATAATATACCATTTGTAAACTATGGAAGAGGCGTTTTTAAGTGTTTTTTTAAATAACGAACAGTAAAAAACTGTAACATTCATTTTCATAAAGAAATAATTCATTAAATACATAGTTAGCCATTTTAATAATCACTTACAGTACAATGACATCCTGATCTTAATTTGTATGAGTACATGAGTGATCTGAGAATCATTAATTGTCACTAATTCACTTTCGGGCCGATTCAGTAATAAATTTTCATTTTCTCTAGGTGTACCTTAGCAGCAGGAGAGAAACATGGGTTTTGCCTCGAGTGGGCCCAAAAGGTTTTCCACTGGACGTGGCTTTGACTAGCCGTTTCACGAATATGCTCATGCACATAGTTCCTTACTTTCTGTTTTGTTGGTTTTGCGAGAAAGTTTTAAATTACAGCTTTGATCATGAAATTTACAGTCTTAAACCTAAGCACAGAATTTGGAGCCAACATCCTACAATCAGCGATACACTTCCACTCAGAATTCTTACTGGAAGAGTTTTGGTAAGAAAAAACATTCGAGAATTCGTTGAAAATGGCGTCATTTTTGAGGATGAAGTCGACGTAACGGAATGCGATTCAGTAATTCTAGCAACAGGTTACAGAATTAAGTTCCCTTTCCTTAATGAAAGATTGACAACTATAAAGAATAACGAAGTGCACCTATATAAATATATCTACCCACCACATTTGAAACATCCCACTTTAGCCATTGTAGGCTTAATTCAGTCTGTTGGAGGAGGGTTCCCTGTTAGTGAGGCACAGTCCCGATGGATATCTTTAGTTTTCAAGGATAAAATGAGCTTGCCTTCAAGGGAAGAAATGGAGTTTGACATTATGCGTAAAAAGAAATTCAATGAAAAACGATACGTTAAATCTGAAAGACATACAATTCAAGTGGACTACATAGATTATTTAGATGAAATTTACACCATGATCGGAGCAAAGCCAAACTTATTTAAGATGTTTTTTACCGATCCTGTATTATTGTTTACCTTATTCTTTGGACCTTCATTACCTTATCAGTACAGGCTACAAGGACCTCACTCTTGGCCAGGCGCAAGAAAAGCTATACTGGAATGGAAAAAAAGAGTGGTTAAACCTCTTAAAAGGGACTACAATTCAAAGAGATGTTTAGCCGAGCTTAATGTTCTTAAATACGTTTTGATTGTGTTCCTAGTTTGTGCTCTTCTTTACTTGGGCATTGGACTTGTCGTAAAAACAGAAATTTAAATGCATGCTTTATAATAAGAGTATCTTTGGCTTATAAAAATATTTTAGTTTGTAACTGGTAAATTCACAATGCGTATGTTTATATTTGTTCCGATTTTGTTATTTTTCAATTGCTTGGTTTATCTCAAAAGTGCTTATATCTCTGTCTATATATATAATAAATTATTTACTAATGGATTATTTAGTATATTATCTCCTTTGATAAAGAAGTTACTTAGAATTCTATTGAAATGGAAGTAACTTATCAGCATATTTAAATTATTGAATCTTGAAAAAAATTTTTAAAAAGGAAACATCAAAAATTAATCTTGAATAAATTGAAAATAAACTTTTAAAAGGTAAAGTTAAAAATGTGATCAATTATATATATATATGTAATAATAATATGAGCACAAGGAAAAACCGGAGCAGTGTACATGCGTGCTTAGAACCTATATTGAAAAAGAATTTTTATTACGTAGTATCTAAAGAACTTGGCAGTCGAGGCGATTTTAATTCCATTTTTATTTGCAATTGATATTTGGGGCCACAGTAACTTGGCACTACAGTCGTTCCTTTCCACAGAAGATTTACATTTTTGATATTGTTGAGATAGAAAGCAAGACAGCGAATTTACATTTTAGCAAAGTAGAGAGCAAAGCTGAAGTGCGTAGTTATGCAAAATGGAAGCACGCGAAGAGAAAAGTTTTGGTTTGCAATTTGGTGATTGGTCAAGAGGCATTTTCGTAAGATCGCATGATTAATTTGAAAGACGCAGTTTATACTTAAGCTGTACTTTTAGGACAGATAAATGAAGTTTCAAAATGAAATAAAAAATAAAAGAGGTTATAGGGAATTAGAATTTAGAAGTTTGGTTTCATATTTTTTATCTTACACATTCCCCCCTTTCAAAAAGAAAAAGGTGAAGCGATAGAGAAGCCTTTTTGAGAGAGAAACATTAGAGTAGCAAAACATGAGATGGATAATTTTGAAACATACAAAATATAATATTAGCTTTTGAACAATAAATTATAATATGTAAAATTTTGAATTCAATAATAATTTTCAAAGTCCTATGGAGATTTGAGTCCAATCTATAAAAAGTTCTTGTTTCTGGAACATTCACATCACCATTTTTGATACTCCAGGAAAGGATTTCCAAAACCTTTTGCATACCAGATTACACTTATAAAAATTTTATATACCTATAAATTATTACGAATGATCATAAATCTTAAAATTTACACCAATTTTCACATTTATAAGTAATACTTTATCATTTATAATAGCATGATTGAAATTATGGTTTTCACTTTTATTACTACATTTTACAATTTTGACATTTTACACAAACTGGAAGACCCCACAGCTTTCTTCTAGTACACACATCCAGCTATTTGGGGAAATCCACTTTAAACAAACTCATGTATTAAATTTTCATAAGTGGTTACTGAACTGCGCTACAACATTCCATTATATTAAAAAAGATCACACTCCATCATATGAAAAAATAAAAATTCTATATAATAAATAAAGTGGGAGCCTTTCAAAATTTATATTATATTACATGATGAGTAAAAGAAACAATTATGCAGAGGTAAAACAAGCCTCTGTTTCTGAACCAGTACTCCCTCATACTTCATATTTAACATACAATTATTGATAATTATAACATTAACTTACCCTAATTCCAAACAAAGGGTAATATATTGTACTGTTAATTAAATTCTGATATAAATTTTAATACGATTATTCAATTTCTTAAAACTGGTATTTACATATTAATTTTAGCAATATTTAGCACTCTCCCATTTAATAATTATTTCATTTGTATTTCACAAACACATTCTAAAAATAATTATAAAATTCTTAAAATTCAAATTTTTAAACAATCTTAATTACAAAGAAATTTCGAAATTCGGCTAAAGTGTAGAATCACCCACTTATTTGGCGCGTTGTGTTCGGCGCTTTTTACGAGATTGATAAATGCGCCAAATGGTATCCAAGTCGATTTGCCGTTCTGGAAGGCGAATTTCAGAGCATTTTCTCGCGTGCCCAGTATGTATTTTGAATTGAGAATTTCTTGTGAGCGCGAAATTTGGAATGGTATTTACGTATTAACGCAACCAGGCCAAAATTCGCATAAATCGCCAAATTTGGCTATCTACTTACGGCAACCCTACGTGTTATACGTAGTTTACGTCGAAGAGTGCAATCAACATTTGGGTGTGAGAACCGGAAATTGGTTTGAAGGTAGCCGAATTATTTGTTACAGCGGTGCGCTTCATTTATTGGTGGTGTAAAGAGTTAACCTCAATTAAATTTGTGCAGAAGAGATGGGAATTGCTGAAAAACTGTTATAGATTGTTTAAAAACCTCATCATTTGACTCAACCTATCGAATTATATGGCGCCAAGTCAAGCTGTTAATGGCGAAGGCGGTTTTCAATCAGTTGCTAAAGCAATAGCCAAAATTTCCCGAAAAAAATAATCTGCAGTTTCAATTCGAAACCGGAAGGTTTAATTGTATTTAATTTTAAAACAAAATAATAAAAACTGTATTAAAAATATCTGTAATTAATAAAGTACATTTTTTCTATCTACTTTTTTACTCAACTTACAAAGCGCGCCACCTGGTTGCGAAATACTAAGTGATGTAGACTGGTGGCAGTTATTTAAAGTGTAATCGAGAAATTCGAAAATTCGTTAATTTTTCTTTCTCGGCTAGCGGAGGGATTCCTCTTCAGTAAGTGAAATTTTTATCTTCAGGTGTACAATGCTTTTTAGTTAAAATATTGTTTGTAAGGAATGTTTTTTTTATTAAAACAATGGAAATGTATTTAGGGAATTAGAATTTTAGTTTTTTGGACTTTTTTATTTTAAACTTGATCCGAATTTTGGCAACGATTCAGTTCTTAGTTTTATTGGGGTTTGTTTTTTGGGAGTTTTAAAGACTAGACGAAGGTGACTTCACCAGTTTTAAAAGATGGCGCACCACAGGTGGAAAGATGGGGATACCCAGTTGTGCAATTCTTAAGGTCAACATGGGTAATGCACTTTTTATAGGTGAATGTATTTTTAATTCTCATGTAAAAAGTTGAAGCTTACTGAGGTCAACCAGTTTGTAAATTATTGTAAAGGATTTTCAAGTTTGTTTTTTTAAATTTATTTTTTATTATTTGAAGGTTTGTCATTGACCGCGTCTGCGTAGGTTTCTGGAGGGGTTTGCAAATCCAGGGGACAAACCGAGAAGCGTGCCAAGTCGATTTGAAGGCGCGCAAGCGTGGGCGTTTGCACTTTAACCCCAAACTTATTGGGTGTTAACAAAAGAATTCAAAATTTTAACATTAATCAAAAAATTTTGCAAACTTATAATTACTAAAAACAGTAAATTAAAAATTTTCCCTCAATAAAATCGTGGAATACTTATCCATTTTGATTTATTTTCGATGGGCCACATTTTTATTCTCGAATTAAATCATTGTAAGAAAACCCCCTCTCAGATTTCAAAATATAACCCAATTTGAGTAAGTTATTTAAGACAGTTGAGAAAAACTCAAACTCTTTTTATTACGTAACTCAAAACACATTTCGGAATTCGCCACTTCGCTTTTCTGGGGACTTGAAGAATAATTTAGAACCGAAGAAATTCACCACTTCAGATCATTTGGCGACGCGTTAAATCACTTTTATTAAAACACACAGATTCGGGGACGGTGCGGGGGCCTGATTGAGAATCCAGATGATATTTTCCATTTTATCCATGAGTTAAACGATGGTGAGATTAGATGACATAATGTCCTTGAGGGTAGTACAAACCCCTGACGAACAATGTAATAATAGGCATACAGGGAAATTCTGTCTGCAGATGATTTGACGCTATATGCAATGTCTTTGACCCACTGTAGACGATGAAAGTTAACAGCGCATTAAATTAATCCACAGAGAGCTTTTCCCACACAGAATGATATCCTGTCGACTAAATAAATAACTGCGATATTCAGCAGTCGTGATAAAGCTTCCCTGTCCATGGTGCTGTTAAAAACCTACGCTACTGCTCCCATCTTCCTTTCTTCTATGACGCAGTAAATTTAAAGTAATCTTTTTTTAGTAACGAATAGAGTTTAGAACTTCTGAAATTTAATTAAAGCTATGGAATAAAGATGAAAAATTAAAAGCCAAATAATCTTGCCTCATCATTTGGATTTCGCCTTACCACTCTGCAAAAACAATGCTTGAACTTGCATTGTTTTTGCAATGTTTGATGATGCAAGCTTCATCACTACTGCCGAAATATCACATACATATGCATATATATATAAGGTATTATGGGTTTAATAATAAAGTTTAAATTATATATATCGAAGATATTTAGTAAAATGAAATTATTGAGACTGAGAGCAAAATATTAAGATTAGAATGCAATTCTTAACATGGAAGAATTTTAAATTTGTCATACATACAGCAATAAGACTACAAGCCTTTATTTATTTATGTTTCAATTTGTGAAGAAAAGCTCTTAAATTCAAACGCTGTAATTTTATCTAAGAAACTTTCAATGATATATTTTTTTAAGAAATAAGTGTGTGAAAGTATTTAAAAATCATATCGGTCTTCATTCTTTTTAAAATTTGAATTTGCATGAAATTTAGGTTTTATTAATTTACCTATGGGTTTATAAACGGATTTATGAAACGGCTACTGAATCAGAAAATGCAAAAATGCCCTTAAACTGTGATTGGCCTGTGATATAGTGTATGTGGGCTGTAAATCTGTTTCAAATTCGAAAGCAGTAAGTTCCCTCTTTCATTTTAGGCTAATTGAAAGTGGTTCTTGGGCTCGTTTCCCGGCAGAACTGTTTGGCTCCATGGGAATGTTTTCAGTTCATGTTTTGTATACGTATGTTACGAGTAATTCACATATTATTTCAGAGATCTATACAGCTACTAACGTACGCTGATGTCATCGACATTATTCAAAGAAGTAAACAGACGATTTTGGAGACCTACTTCCCTAGAGTCTGCAGCCAGAGACATTTCACCAGAGACATTCATCAATGAATGTAAAAGAAAATTTATAGCAGTAACTAGTGGGGTACATGATTCCTTCCCACTGCAAATAAATCCTTATACTTTCTCTCGTTTACGTATCGGAGAGCATCTCTAAGATAAAAATTTTAACTTGAAATTGACCAAGATT